AACACCTCCATAAGATCAATCGTCCGACTTCAATCACTGATGAAAGTCCTTTCTGCAACATCCACTTCAGAAGAAAGGTCAGAGGGATTTTAAACCATTTTAAACAGAAAAAATAAAACTAGTCAAATGCATAAAGGCATAAAAATTAAGGCTAGGAGATTTATTTTTTCTTCACAAAAATCAAATCCAAACAGAATATAATTCCGTGTGTAACTTTTTTGTTTTTGGTCTGTAGTCAGGTTCATTGCATAATAATACGCCAGAAACCAATCGTTTTTGAGTTGATGATAGACCACAAACTGACAGTATAAAACATCCTGCCATCATGCATTAACATTTTCCTGTCTGTGCAAAATTAGAGCACAGCACACTTTAATGCAAATCAAAGCAGTAGCGCCACGAAAACCGCAGGAAGTTTACAAGAAAAGCAGCTGGTGAGAAACAGGCAGTGGAAACCTCCTGTGTGTTGCATCTGTCCATTTTTTTTTCACAGGGCACAGTAACTGCAAACATGTGCTACTAATAATATCTCTGCTACTTGGGAACATGAATTTGCTGCTGCTTAAAAAAAAAAAAAAAAAAAAACAGACACCGCTGCATATTTAACTAACAAAGTCACAAACACTGCAGTTTATTGTACTCTCTTGCCCCACAGGCCTAGAACTACCCAGTACCTGGTTAATAAAAGTGTAAAGATTTTTTTAAAATTATATTTAATTAGTTCAGTTATTACGTGTGTGTGTGTGTCTGATTTATTATGTGCATCCAAAATTTGCAGTGTCATGAGCAATATCTGTAATTATAGAACAAGCGTTTCAGTGGAAATCATTTTACGCCAACATCTGAAATCCCTGTTGCTATAGTTACTGGGTTCAATGCACTGCACTTTGTTTTGTGCTTGACCAGTTCGTGTTTTGATGGTGGAGTTTGTCAGTGCAGGATCTGGTTCAATTCAAAACCTTTGGTGAATGGTTCTAACCCGACCACACTGGGTTAGTAGTAATTATTAGGCTGTGAAAAGTGCACCAAAGAAAAGACCCAAAGGGGACGGCCGTTGTTGAAAGTAGGGCATTTTATACTCTTGCATTAACAGACACGAGCCACTAGTATTTTATACTCTTGCATTAACAGACACGGGCCACTAGTTGATGATCACTGCTCTAGACTTTAGCCATGAGATTAGTGTTTGTGTTGTGTTTGTGTGTGTAGTCTTGTGTTAAACTGATGCTGGCCCACTCACCGATTCAATGCAAAGGCGTAGTGGAACTTTACATGTGGGTGAGCTACCAGGTCAAAGGTCGGGAGCTTCTCCAACGTCTCCACCAGCTTCACGATGGACTCGTAGTCCTAGGAGAGAAGAACAAGGGACACACTGACTCCTACACTTTCAACCCCCGATGGCTGCGGGAGATTGTGGGACAGTTTTCCATGTGTCCTTCACAAACCCAACAAACTGCTTTGGTGCCAGAGGGAGAGTTTCTGGTGGGCTTTGATTTATTGTGTCTGAGACTCAACAGTCGTCTCAACACCAACGTCGCTTCAATAATTGAACGGTTGCTTCATCGCTTTTTTTTTTTATTGGTCCTACTTAAGAAACACGGTCGCCATACCCAGAGCGTGCTGAATAATTCAGGAAGTCCACATTACCCCGTGTTGTACTGAATCATTTATGAGGCTGATGCTGCCTATGGTGAGTGGGAGGACCTGGACAGTGAGTGCCGGCGTGGAGTGTTGACCAATGAGCAGCAGATTTAAGAGGAAGGAACCAGAAGCTGTGCCCTGAGCTGGGTGCAGAGCGGCTGTGACTGCATGTAGAGAGCTTGAGGAGATGAGAATGAAAATGCGGGGGAACACTGACACACCAGTGCTGAGACAGTGACCTTACTTCCTCCAAGTTGTACAGTAAGTCTGGTGGTGACAGCTTTCTCTGCCAGTGATGTTGGCTCACAGCCCGGACTTGTACAGTGTGAGTTGACTAAGTGTTCAAGACAACAATGGTCACCAGTTGTTGAAGGACTGCCTGAGTGACTTGTTTATTTCAACCAAAGCTCTGGGCTTTTTCATGTGTCTCTAGACACACTGGGAATACCGGGCAGTATTATGTGGTTCAATATGGGGCTCAAATCACAGTGGCACAGCTTCCATATTGGTTGTGATTTGATTACGTTAGGGCCATGTACGTATATGTAGACACAGGGCAGTTTCTCTACCTGGATATCTCTGTACGTCAGCAGCAGGTTGATGACGATGTCAACCGAAAGGCACTCCACGTTGTCCAGACGCTGTTGGATTCGGTTCAGCTCGGCAGCCAGCTCCATGCCGGTGTAAAGTTCTCGAGCTTTCCGGATCTCGTTCAGAATGGTTTCATGGAAATACTGGCTGCAGAACGAAAAAAAAAACAATAGTTTTAAGAGTGGTGAAACGTTTCATGGAAATACTGGCTGCAGAACGGCAAACAATGGTTTTAAGAGTGGAGAAATACATCAAAATAAATTCACTTGTTAATAAAATAGTCTAGAAAGAACCTAATGGATGCTGATGACCAGGCCACAAAACTGTTCCAACTATAATAAATGATGAACTCCAGTTGAAGCACAAAGGAGTTTGAACATTAAAAATTCCGAGTCAGCGTCTGGTTGCCTGCTGTACTTACTGGGAGTTGGCCTGTGACACTTTGAGCAGATGGATGAATCGGTCCAGCAGTGGCATACAGATGGGCCCCAGCAGCATCTCAAAGCTGGGCTGCATCAGTTCTGTCAGACCCTTCATGAGGCTGCCCTCGCAGCAGTACACTTTGTTGTGGGGCGTCACCATGTAGGGGATGAAGGTGTAATTGGCTGAGCACGTCTGTGGGTTCAGAGACAGAATTGCGCTTGAGGTGGTATTTTTTCAGATGGGTTCTTGATCAGGTGTCAAGGACGGCAGAATAATTTATAATTTAATTTATAGGTACATGTGCGTTGTTTAGATAAATACAAAAAATATATATATTTTAAATAGTACATTAATATGAGATAATGTTAGAGCAGCTTTTGAACATCTCTATAAAAATCTCTCTA